CGTCTTTCCAAGATACGTTATCTTGGAATTCCGTCTTTCCAAAATACGTTATCTCGGAAAGACGTCTTTCCGAGATAAATTATCTCGGAAAGACGTCTTAATAAGTGTTTATTCTATGTTTCCAAGATAATTATCTTGGAAACTCGGAAACTCGGAAGGTCACTTTAAGCTTCCTTAATACGTAATGTAGCCCTGTTTCCTGTCATTTTTTTCTCTTTTGTATAATTTATATAAATTCATTCTAAACATAAACATAATTTATTCTTGCTGAAACAAAAATTATATTTCCACTTTGGGAATGATTTCAGCTACACACTGGTTGAAAGCATCAAGCACCTCAAGGCTTCTAATTCCCAAAATAGAATCTAATCTGCTCGCCTATTAACGTTTGGGAGTGTAGTCCATCATTTCCTTTATAGGTTGACGCCAGAAGCTTCATTGCGTGGCCGGACCCCACTCTTCTAGCGCCGCCCCTGTTGACGAGCTCCCTTGCACCCTGGTTGAAGAAGTCGAGTGAGGTATCTGTCAATCTGAAGTGGATCATTAGGACGCAAGACGACTGCCAGGATGGCTACGTTAGATGTTAGGGTGTGGTATATAATTGTTCGCCTGATGATAGAAAAAGGCAATTGGTTAAAATCCGCAATGAGTGCAGTATTCGTCATCTTAATTTTGTATACGTAGAAAATTACAGACCTACTGCTTCAACACTGCTCGGACCTCTCTGTATGGTTAACTCTTTCTAACTTCCTATCTAAAGTCGGAGTTTGGTCTAGACACTTTGTCTCAATTGTTGTCAGATAAACAGAATAAAAATCTTAATTTGATACAGTGTAGAAATGTATTACAATCTCTTTTAAAACTACACAAGTATGTTTGGCACGCACGTATATTTTGTATTTCTTTCTGTTTTATATAGCAATAATCACATCAAATGTTGAATCAGCAACTCATGACCTGTCCATGTCCAGAGCTAATGGACCACTGCTGTCGAGTCATTCACTACATCATTCATCAGTAAGGGGTTTGACAGATTGTGTACAACTCTGTTTGCGTCACATCAAGGAATGTTCCTTTATAGCTTACGATAAAGACAGTCAAATGTGTGACGTATTCGCCAGTAAATCTGAATATCAACTAGTTACACTAATGTTCCCAACGAAAGTACTGCTGTACACGAGTCCGTATCGCGACTGTACTGACGTCAAGCAACGACTGAGTGACTGTGAAAGTGGTGTTTACCAAATTAAACCCTGCTCATCGTGTGACGCGTTTCTCGCTTATTGTGACATGGACACTGATGGTAAAGCTTGGACGGTAGGTTTCATATACATTTAGCTTTCCAATTCCAGACCTCTTGAGACATTTTCAAAGTACCAAACAAACGTTTAACCCTTTAACATAAAGTGTTAACTCTATTAATTGGAGAACGAACCCTGAGACCACCCAGCAATTTAAGGTTGTTGCGAATTGGAGGGCACATTGTACGTTGATATTAATTTCAAATTAGTTGTCACAGTAGGCCTAGTATTTTTTTGGTAAATATTGATGAATATCATAGACATGATTCCCTTCAAGCTGATGATCAAAATCGACGCCAACTAATGTTTCTTCACGGTTATTGCTTTTTAAAGAAAATTAAAAAAGATGGTTAAAATGTTATGTATTTATACCGTGCAAAATACGAGGGCCTCTATGCGCTACACAAGTGAATAGATGCTATTGGAAAAACAAGGAGGGAAGAAACTCCAAGCAAGAACCCAGAGGTGACGGAACTAGGGGTGCTGTGTTATGGAGAGTAATGTATACTGTGACCGGAAATGGTCTGCATCAGTTGGTCGTTACCATGCACCAGTTATGTTGGAGTATATAGTACAGCAAGATGAATTTATTATGTAGGCCAAATGAATAAAGTTCGGAGTTTGTCGGGTAGTGAAATGATTATTGTAAATTTTAAGCGCTAGCTAAAAATTCATAAGTGTCAGCTAAATTACGGTGATTAATTTAATTAGCGAAGATATGGAGACAATTATTTCGAAGTTCCCTCTTTCCAAGAGGGGATGCAAATGCTTTGTGAAAATGAGTACTCCGCCGTACTCATTTTCACAAAGAAATACACACAACTGCCAATACAATATGCCAATAACAATACGCCAATACATGAACACCTGCGAAGGAAGGTTCAATCACGTTTTTGCCCAGCAAATGTCTGTACTGTATGGGGGGGGGGGAGTAGCGCTGCTGATGTACTGTGTAGCGGATGAATGAGGCATATTGCATAATAAGACTAGGCCCAGGCCTAACTTGACAGTGCAATAATATGTGATAAAAAGTACACTTTCGAAAGAAATAAATTAAAATAAAATATTAAAAAAAAACAAAAACGTATTATACAATGCTAACAATGCGGCTCTTGTATCCCTAGCTAGAACAAGGCATCCATGTGCAAAGCAGTGGTGTTTGTTTATCCATGAAAAAAGCACGCCGGGATAGTTTGCCTTACCAGGAAAAGGTGACTTAATCTAGCTTATGACGTCTGCATGCTAACTATATTGTGAGTGTGACGTCACCAAAAAATGAATATTTTCTATTATAACCAAAATATTAATAACTACAACGCTTCTGGGCGTAAATTCCCTTAATACGAATTAAGGGTTGCACAATCTCCTTGCCATACAAATTACAGCTCCACTGACTTCTCAGTCGAGAAATACGGGTAGCTGAAGATATTCTCGCAAATCTGACTACGAAACCATATCCAAATTTCACGTTCCACTTTTGACCCTGATTTGTACTTCGCACTCGCCGCTGAGAGCGGCGTTTCGGGAACCCTGCGTCAAGACCACAGTATAGGGAGTAGCCCCGATCGTCGCTGACCAGGGATTTATCAAGATGTGCCAGTCTCCAGCACCAGTTGAATCTCGGACATATCAGGACTCAGGTGCCTCCTCTCCACATAGAATTAGAAAAAGGCTAGTTTTATAACAAATATTATCAATTACTTTACTGTTTTAGTTTGCCTGTGGCCTATAATTGAAATACTAAGAATCCCAACCAATATTGTAATGTTTATTCTAATTGAAAAACTGTAATCTTATAGGTATTTCAGCGTCGACAAGATGGCTCTGTAGATTTCAACCAAGATTGGCAAAATCATACGTCTGGATTTGGTGATTTGAGTGGCGAGTTTTGGCTGGGAAACAATAAAATCCACAAAATCACGTCGTCAGCAAAGTATAAATTTCGGATAGATATGGTTACCCATGATGGCAACGCTTATCACGTCACATACGAGTCTATTGAGATTGGAAGTGAAGCTGAAAACTTCAGACTGGACATAGGAGAGTACATCGACACTAAGTCAACTGCCGGTAAAGACCATGTTGTAACTATTATTAGCCTCCCCAGAGGAGCGAAGCTCCGAGGTCTGGGAGGCTACCGTTACCTCTACTTTTCTTCATGTTGTCGTTGTCACTGTTGGTAGTTGTTTAATACCACGATATTTGAAATTTGGTTTCAAACTAAGAAGAATAATAAGAAGACGGAGCCTATTGCTTTGGTGTGTGTGGATATGCTAATTCTACATTTGCATAATTCATATTTCACTAATCGGGTAATTTAGGCTAGTTACTGCGATAGCTAAAGATTGGTAAGTCCGATTGGTTTTAAACTTTGCTGAATGCGAGATGGTAATAAGAAGACGGAGACTACTATTTTTGGTAAGTGTGTGGATATGCTTGTTGCTCATTTGCATAATTAACATTTCACTATTAAGTACTTCAGGCTAGTTTTACCACGTTAACTATAAAGATTGGTAAGTCCGATTGATTTCAAACTGGGCCGAATGCAAGATGGAAATGAAAAAACGGAGCTTATTGTTTTCAGTACGTGTGTGAATATGATAATTGCTCATTTGCATAATTGTTATTTCACTAATCAGGTAATTTAGGCCAGTTACCACGATAACAAAAGTTTGGTAAATCTGGTTGGTTTCAAACTTTGCACACTGCAAGATGGTAATAAAGTGATGGAATCTATTGTTTTTAGTACGTGTGTGAATATGCTAATTGATAATTTGCATAATTAATATTTTATCAAAAAATTTACGCTAATTACCAAGATAACTAAAGTTTGGTAAGTCCGATTAGTTTTGAAACTTGGTAGAATGCATGCAGGATGGTAAGACTGAGCCTATTGTTTTTGGTAAGTATGTGAATATGCTAATTGCTCATTTGTATAATTAATATTTACCTAATCAGGTAATTTAGGCTAGTTGACTAAAGTTTGGTAGGTCCGATTGGTTTTAAGCTTTGCACTATGCAAGATGGTAATAAGAAGGCAGAGCCTATTGTTTTGGTACGTGTGTGAGCATGCTAATTGCTCACTTGCATAATTAATATTCAGGCTAGTTACCACTTAATCTAAAGTTTGGTAAGTCTGATTGGTGTCCCCACCATGGTTTGAGTTGAGGTAAGAAAATGTATGATTATGACTAGACTAAAATTTCGTAGCTGTAAACCTTTTATATTTTTAGTTTGTAGTTAAATAAATGGAATAACACTATACTCACCTTATTTTCCAATACAGGAAATATAGCGATTGCAATTGTGCTAGGAACAAGAGCAGTGGCGTATCTAGATGATAACAAATCGCCTATCACCTTACTTTGCCAGCTACCTCCCCCTAACTTAATCATTGAGGCCCCACCACACCTTCCCCTATCAGCCCCCACCCACCACACGTCATACTATCACACCCGATCCCCCATTTTAACAATCTTAGATACGCCACTGCACAGGATATTCCAACGAGTTGTTTGTGATTGCGGTTTTCTGACATTATTTCCAATAGAAGTAAATTATTTGTCAATGGTGTTTTCAATTGTACCGGCATCAGTAACTTTGCAAGCATTGGCATTTGTTAGAGATTTATAATACTGTCACATCCATGTTTTCTTTCAAAGTGTTTCTATAGTTTGTAAATGAATGGAATCATAGCTCTGTTATCGAAACACATAGGCCCTACTATGTTGACCAATGATTTCATACATATTTGAACATAATATAACTGTAATGTTGTTTCGTTTAATGATTAAATTTTGAATGAAGATATTAGATGGGATGAAAAATAAAACATCCTGACCTAATCAATCGTCTTGTGATTTACAGTCGAAGGGCTTGACTACGATGTGAACTCATATAACCGGTACAACAATGGCATGAGCTTCTCTACAATTGACCGAGATAACGATTTTTTGAGCAGCGGTTCCTGCAGTATTGAGTATAAGTGCGGTTGGTGGTTCAACATGTGTTACCGTTCTAACCTTAATGGTGAATATAAATCTGGAATTATCTGGGACCATAGTATAACCGGCCACTATATTTTACGATTCTCAGAAATGAAAATGCGAAGAATTGTCTGAGGACAAAGAAAAATGTTTGATTATTATGCCTTAATTGTATTTTATTATTTTTATTTTATATTTGTATGCTTTTGAATCACGATTTGTGAGCTGATTGTAGAGTCCGCTATTTTACACACAGTATACGATGAATACAAAAAGCAATTGCACTGTATAGGTATTTGCCCATAACGGCAGAATTCAAAAAATTATATGTTTGTCAGAAATGAAAGAGATGAATTTACCAAGAATCCCATTTATCATATTTTTTCTAGCATCGTATAGGCTTCTAAATTATGCTTTGTCAGTTTTCATTAAAGTTTCCGTCATTAATAGTTCAGCAGAAAGTAGTATAGTGCCATCGGATTTGAATCCCATGTGTGGACAATTGTAGAATGTGTTTGTATATAAACTCAATGACGGATGTGTTTCCCGATACCAGCTACTGTACTATCATGTAACTATTTATTTATTATAATTGCTCAACACTTTTAATGTGAAAATACACAACAGTGTATACCAAAATCAAATGAATTTTGAATCAAATGAGAAATTGTGTGAGTTCTGTTGGTAGGGATTTGCCGCAGTGATGCCAATTTAGCCTAAGCAACCAATACCCTGCCAATGGTATTGTTGACATTAAAAAATATATATATTTTTGTCAATAAAACAGAACTAAACAGTCATTGGTAGGTTGGGTGGTGGGGGGGGGGGGGGTAGAATCGGAACCTTTAATAAAACAGAACTAAACAGTCATTGGTAGGTTGGGTGGTGGGGGGGGGGGGTGTAGAATCGGAACCTTTAATATATTACAGTATCCATCTCTTGAAACCGAGTGATGCTGTGTATAATTGTAACAGAGCCCGTGAACATTAATCTATAACTCAGGTGGTATGAGATAACTGGTAACGTAAAATTATCATGTTGTTTATACTGTTGGCTCACTCAATTAAGTGACTCTTTGCGACACTTTGAAAGTTGCTGCATCCCATAACAACACATCGTTTCGGCATTTTATTGTTCTCTTTCCATACAAAAGCTTCACTCTACCATGTACAAACAACGATTGTGATTGGTTCCTCTTCTGACGTTTTCACAAAGCGGCTACCGGAAACTAACGAAGATTCGCGACTGAAAACGAGTCGAGAGCACCCTCTACAGTTTGTACCATATGCGTTTTAATGTTGAGTAAATTGCCTGTAGAAAATTGACGTGACAACGTTATTTGATTTTTGTGAAAACATGGATGAAAGAGCAAAAAAAGATGTGGAAGATAAGGGACAACAGAAAAACATCGTCTATTGAATTACAGTAGCTTTAACGGCTTTCATATGTTTAAAACAAAATCACATACCAGACTAGGAAAATATCATATTTTACACAATGAACGAGCATGGCTAAAAAAGGAAAATCAAGGAATCCATTAGCTTCAGAAAACAGTAACAACATGAAGAGGGACGAAGGCTCACACCAATTACCACACACATACGATGAACTCCTGAAAACAAAACTTCCCCCCACCCCTACACCTAAATCCGCCCCTGGAAATGGTATGACATGTACGGAATAGTTGTGTGTTATCTCCTAAATTTTTATTCATTCTGTTTTATAGTAGGCTGAATAGTGTAAGGTTTAAACATTAAGATTTTTTTCAGTGTGTTAATGTATACACTACTGTACAGTATATTCTTGTATGATCTTCTTAAATTTACATTAAGGGTGGCCTTCATAGCCCTACACTACCCCTGATTTTAAGGCTAACATTAATTAAGCTTGACCAATGACATCGTCCTGTTCCCCTTGTAATAGGACCAATGCACTGACTTGGGCCTGCAATGTACTTTAATTAAGCATTCAATTTCAACTTAACTCAAGTCAACTGGATCTTATATTCAAGCTATTTCTCTACCATATATACTCACATTGTATTGTCAACTCTATGGTTCTAAGAAAGGATACCGATGTAAGTTCATGATTGTATATTATATTATACTTTAGTTAAGTGACTGTTTAGTTTAATCACTTAAGTAATTCTTACGACTATTTTACTATTGAAATAGGTCTTATGATTTAGTGTATTCACTATAGTGTCGAATGCATTGACTATTGTTTTAGTTATTGTCTTTTAGAACAGTGCTTATACTGTACTTTTAGTATTTGTTACTTATCATTAGTAATTTGATTGTTTCAATATATTATATTTCATTAATTAATTATAGTATGACTAATTTAGTTCTCATTTACCATTAATTAGTCAACATTATATTATGAGGTTATTACAATATCCAACTAGTGTGATCCGATTATTTATACGTCGTTTTTATATATCTTATTTACAGTTCAAACCGTACTCGCTCCCTGTATCAATCGTACTCGTGCTTAGTGTATCTATCGCATATCTACCAACTCTGTTATTTATTTCAACTCGGAATAAATCATTTTCAACCCTCAAATATACGCGTTTTGAATCATACTTTTCGTCAGAACCACACACATATAAGGCCCCATAAAAACATTATTAGTTTATCACCCTAACAAAGAATAAAAACTGATGAGGGAGGGAGGTTTTTTTTTTGTTTTTTTTTCGCTAATCCCGCCCTCATTTTACCGATGTTCACAAGTAAATCAATGGTTAGAGACACATATATAAAAAGTCATAAGAATAGAATCAAATTTATATTAAAAAAATAAGTTTTTGTTGTAAAAAAAAAAAGAAGGGGAAAAAAAAATCAGATTTTCCCCAAAAGTGATGAGGGAGCGGGTGATAAACTAATAATTTTTTTTTATGGGGCCTAACTGGAGGTTATAAATAGTTAGTAGGTCACGTCACGTTTTTGACTTTGGAACCAGTGATTAAATCTCTACTCGCTTTGTTGGAATTGTTTGCATAGAGAATCTCTACATTTGGGAAAGGCCGGTTCCAGATATAATTCTTCAAGAGAAATTTTGTAAGAGCAGGCCCTAAGTTTTACCAAGGCTGTATTGTGTATTCACAATAGGCAGGGATAATACCTGAAGCACGGTATCACCACCTGCCACCTGGCCACCTGAGCACAGCGTATTAAAATATAAACTATAAACCTGTTTGTCGCCCTCTTCCGTATTATAAAACTGAGTAGCCTTAATCCAACTGTTCATATCGTACAGTACAAATAAGCATTAATTGGCTCGGTTGTTTAAAAAGTATTTTTGCCTATTGATACTCTATAACACATACGTTAGTTTAAATATTCATGTTCGTGTTGGTTTATATACATTTATCTAAATAAAATGCAATTCAACGATTTGGTTGATAAGATAAATAAAAATGATGAAAAGACGGTCTGGTCAAGCCTAGCATATAAATCCAACCTTTGACATCTACCACGATACCACCGATACCGTGGCGACCAAGGTAAATATAGAACGGATTTATTGGAAGAGTCGGTAGACAGAGAGGCCTAGGCGAATTTGTGACGTTTAATTTCACTTTCAGGGTTGCATGCAACGAATATTCCGTAGCCCAGAACATATAATTTTATTGTCACCTATTATTTTTTATAGTTTCCTAGGCACAAATACAGAATGTCTGTGCCGTATTCAAATACTAAACTACGAGTGCCAAGAGGATTCCAAAACCTACTCGAGGGCCTTGCCCGAGAGGTTCTGCGGAACCAGCCTGAGAACATTTACACCTTTGCAGCAGTATACTTTGACAACCTTTTGAAAATCCGAGAAGGTAAGTTTTGCTCTCTGGCTATTGTATTTATTCTATGGATGGCTACGTAAACGTCATCGGCCATTGATTGAGTATTATTAATCCGATTGTATTATAATATTATATTAATATTTAATATTAATAATTTAATAATTTTTTTTCTTAGTACTATCAATATTGTTATGGTGATCACTTCTTGTCTTTGAAATGATTTCATGATGGAGATAATTACTTAGGCCTACTTTTAATTACTTTATAGAGATACTGGCACAAACAGCAGAATATTCGTTTTATATGATTGAATAAATGATTATCATATACAGTTGCATCTATTTAAATTCAAATTTCAGAACAAGGTATTGACCCGTCAGAGGTTGGAGCTAAGCATGAAGACAGATATTATAACAACAAAGCATTTGAGAAGGTATACTAACAACATACAATTCATCAACCATCACCATTCTTTTTTTTTTTTTTGTCAAATACTGTAACCTAGATGGATTTTTGTAAGATAATTACAGATCCCTCAAATTCACCTCAATCCAAATATGAGTTACTCTTGCAGACTCATTTATTTATTTCACCAAAATCCAACAGCGACATATAGCATGTTTGATGAACACCATGCTATTTCTCCATGGTAATTACTTTTCTAATTAGAGACCAAAGCTGCTAAAGCTTGGTCCCAAAAATAGTCTTTAATTTGAGGGAGTCCGTGTAAATCTATTTTCCAGGGGAACAATATTGGGGATGTGAGTGATCCACAACAACAAGCTGCTGCAACCAAGGTTCAGAGTGGAGTGCGAATGAGCCAAGCACAAAGTAGGGCCAAGGAAGCCAAGGCGGAAGAAACCAAGACTGAAGAAGACAAGCCTGAGGGTGATGCCACTGAAGAAGCTAAAGTAACATCAGAAGAGGATGCAGCTGTCAAAATTCAGTCATCTTTCCGAGGGTATGAGGCCAGAAAACGTGTGAAGATTTTGAAGTGCGTTTTTATCTTTTCTTTCTTTCTTTCTAACATTTCCACTAATAATTTGTGAATCATTTATTCTTAAAAAAAACATCAATTTAATATTTTAGTTTCTTTTTGTTAGTCTTTTGCAATGCTTTGGAAAACTGTTGAAATTTTACAATTTATCTAAACATTTCTCTTCAAAAATATAAAAAAATATACGAGAAAATAAGAAATATTTTATCACACATCCATTGATTGTCTTATCCTTATTTAATATTTTAGTATCTTTTTGGTGTAATTTCGTCTCCAAGATTTTAAACCTTAAGCTAATATCATGTACAGTTTTATCTCTTCAAACATGCGAATGATCACCTTCCTACAAAATGTTTAAACCCTCATAAGTAACGACTACACCCTAAGACAGACCTCGGTGGTCTCTATGCCAATAGCTATTTTACATGGAATTTTCACTAAAATAAGACTATTAAATGAAAATTCGTTGGTGCCTTTTTCTACATTTGGGTGCATTACTTAAAATATTATTGTGGTTGATATTTTGTCTATCCATATGGTGTGGAATTTGGTGTGGGAGCGGGGAGATGGGTGCGGGGACATGGCTCTACAACTAGGCCTACTTCTAAGCCTAGGGCTTCATGGGCTAACTCGCCATCTGATCCCGAGTCATATTCACTGTCTGAATCGTTATCTTCAGTAGGCAAACAAAAGTACTCTTCAATTAGATTACTGAATTCCTCATTGTCTCCTAGGCCTAGGAGATGAGAAACGTGGAAATTTAATGCATCCTTTACTTCTTCTATGTCAATAGCTTTTCTTTTCTTAGACAATTTCTCCTGAATTTTATAACTGCTTTCGAATAACTGTCAAAACTTTTCGCATGTATCGTTCGCAATAAAGCCACAACAGGAATGCCGATCTAAACGTGCTATGTACTTAAGTGCATTAAGCAGGTTAAACCTTTGACCCAACGCTTGGACCAGTCAGCGTTCAAGACGAATATCACATGCTATAAGCAACCAATCAGAATCCTAGACAAATGGCCTTGGCAACCGTTTGAGTACACCTTTTATTACCCATTTTCATTGGTAGTTGGATATTTTTATGGAAAATAGTGACCTTTTTTGTATTGTTCGTTGAATGACCTTTACAATGATAAGTCATTCATGCGAAAGCAACGGGGTGAAGACTGTTTATAAAAGCGTCAAAATTAGACATTTTTCAGTGCTATGTTTCGACTTTTAGACAATTCTTTTGAAAACCAGCCTCATTAAAATGGGCATAAAAACCACTTTACGTTAAGAAAATTGACTGAAGAAGTATTTTTAGAAGTATTCAAAAATGTAAAGAAAAACAAATTGTGTAAAATATGACTTCAGACCTATTTTGGTGATTTTCTCAATTCGATCTCACCGACGATGCGTCTCATTTCGTGGCGAGACCTCACATATTTTATTACACATCCTTTGATTGATTGTCTTATCCTTATTCATGATGAATGTATGCATTTTTCTATGACACACCCAGCAAGGTGCCCTGATAGAAGTTCAGTTTGAGCTTAATATAGGGTCAAGTTTGACCACTAAAAACTACCAAGTTTGATAAATACACTTACTATTCTACTAATACATTTATATAATACATACGATTTTTATACAGTACATTATAGGGATAAAAATATCCATTGAATGTAAGTTATTGTGCCTAGAATATTAATTAAAAATTTATGGCAGTTTTAATTTTCCCCCTTAAAATTATATTATCAACCCTCTGCAATATTCTATATCCCCTAACTCCAGTTCAATGGAATCTCCCAATTGCACTTGCAAAAATAATTTTATCTGTACTTCTCAACATTACTTATGCTTGCAAGTGATGTTGGTGTCAACTTGATACATAGATCAGTTTAATTGAAATTTCACTGCCAAATATGGTTTTCGTAAGCAATTGTCCAAATGTGTGTTGACACCTAATAAACATAAATGTATCAATTCCTTGGAGACTAAAGCATTGTAGCAGTTAATTTTCTTAATTTAATATAGCAATCAGGTTAAAAGGGAATTGGCTCTTGTAGCAAAATTTGCAGCGGGTAGTGTAACATTCTAGTAAGTTTAGTAATGATGTTTACAATGGCATATACATGTATGTAGAATAATTGAAATGGATGGGGGTGATCGGGGTAAGAAGGTAATGTGGGGGTGGGGCTAGATTATTAGGAGAGGGGAACTAGCTTGCAAAATATGGTGATTTGAGGTGATTTATAACTACTTGAGCATGACTCTTAGGGTGGGGGAGGGTTGAACGGGGGGTGGGGGCATGAATAGTTTTTGGGGGTGTACTTGATTGTTTAAATAGCAGTGCTTATAAAAAATAACATGGTTTGAGAGATAAAAACCAAAAATAAATTACTATATTATGAAAAAATATAATAATAAATAATAAACAAAAAAAATAATAACATAGCATTGAAAATTGTATGCTGATAAATATTCAAACCCAGACAGGACATATAGGCTTTTGACATATATAAAATATGGTTTAGCAAGTTATTGAAAGTAACACACAGTATTATGTACGGTATGCTTAGTTATTTCAAGGTGACTGTGTGTGTTGGTATGTATCGTTTTTAATGGTTTTCCATCAACAAAGTCCCGTAGATATTTTCTACATATCTTTTTGAGAGCCACAACTATGCCAGTGGCCATGTTTTACAAGCTCTATCAATTCCAATGACACAGTGTCTTACAATTTATGTTAAAATTTATATTTTACATGCTCCATCAAGCCCGATAGATTGATTTTCTTCATCATTATTAATTCTTATTATTACCGTCATTATTTATACTCTGCACATCAGAAAGAAGCTGGCCAATAAATAGTTTTTAATTTGTTTGAAGAGCCAAATTATTTTTAGAGTTTTTCTCATAGTAAGAGAAATAGGACCACAGAAAACGTCCAGCCAAAATTTTTCATAAATTTTATTATAATATTCGCATTCCATTTTTTTTATAAATATGTATTAAGATCCAGGGATCTATGTTAATAGTCCTACTGAAAAATGAAAAGTAGAATAAGCCTATATAACCAAAAGTATTACTTCCTCTATATAACACTGTCCACAAGGAAGTATGGGAATAAATACTAAATTTTTACTGTGCAGTTATCCTATTGTCACTAGCTCAATACATTCACTGACATAAGTACCTTTTTTGAAAACCGTAATGACAGCGTTTTGTCTGGAATTAAACCCACAGAAAACTAGCATACCATTTGTAATCATAGTATTAAGTTGTTTTACATACATTTCTGTATTGGTTTATCAAACCAAAATAAGTTACGTTCAACAAAGTCACATTAGATCTGCTAATTTGCTGAAAAAACTGGACACTCCTGTCGTTATAATGGTTTTGTCCATAAATTTAATATCTTGTTTAAAAATGAGGTTACTATAGTTATGTTTGAACACAGTTTTTATTTATAATATCCTTTCAAAGCCACTTGATTAGCTGCTATGGAATTCACAAATAATATAGTGACAAGCTTTCATCACAATAGCCATTCAAAAATAAAGTTTAGTTTCTTTTAAATTCATTAGAAATGTTTATGTTGGCTGCATCAAATTAATTATTACTGTGTTCTTTTATTTTTTAATATTTATTTTAATATGTTTTTTCAATAACTATAGAATTTGCCAACGAACTAAGAATTGTAAATTATAATTTAGAATGTTCACATAAAATTTTATATTTAATTGAAGTAACTCAGTCATATTTTCTATGGCCTGTGTAAGTGTATATATACATAATTGCATGTGTGTTGTAGGCATGATTGTTGTGGGTGGTTGGTGACACCATACTTGCAAACAAAATCTTTTAGCAATTACTCTCATCACTCTAGGTAATTATTTTTGGTAAAACAATACATGGAAAATTAGCAGCAATTATTTTTATTCTATATCTAAATATTAAGGAATATTTTTTTATTTAGAAAAGACACTAAATAATTTACAAATTTGTGAGAATGTTGAAAATATCAATTTAGCAAAAGAAGATTGTTTGAACATTGAATATATTTGTGAATTTGCTTGAAATGAGCAGTACAACAAGTAACATAAGAATTTTCTTTACCCTTGTCATTCATAGGGAGCAAAAAACAGAAGGTACTCAACAAAAGGAAGAAGTGAAGGAAGAAAGCAAGAAAGCTGAAGAAGAAGTAATTGACATAGACTTGAGTGATCCAGAGGTTGCAAAGGCAGCATCTAAGATTCAGGCTGGATTCAGAGGCCATCAGACAAGAAAAGAATTAAAGGACAAAATTGAAGTACAAAAGGTAAATCCCATTTTATTTTATACGTGCTACCATGGGCGGGTCCATGGGTGGGGGCGCGTCCTTAGCTGGGGACCGCCAAGAGACCCTGTTTGGGGTGTCAAGGGAAGCTATCTGGAAGCCTTGCATTTAGCACTTATCTAAACGAATTTATACAGTTTAATAAAAGAAAGCAAATACATTTTGTTTTGTCAGCATTTCCCTATATTATTTACTTGCATAGACAAAGTAATATGATACACTGGGAAATGGAGGTAGGCCTATTTTCAATGTACAGTATCTACATCTACATTTTAAATATTATTGAAAGGCAGTTTCATAATGAAATTAATTTGAAGCAAATACATTTTATAAATTTTGTCGATGCCACTCTATAACATTTGCTTTTTTGTTTCGCATTCTTTAAACAACATGAAACTGTATACTGTTTTGGAAGATGTCAGTATATTCGAAATATATAATTTAATATATAATGAGACTATTTTAATATCCTAGATTTATAAAGTGTGAATTACGTAAGTGCTTTACAGAAAAGCTAAAAGACAAATTGTGTTCGCGTGAATTAAGCAGAAATTGTGAATAATTTCTGTCGGTGATTTTCTAGTACAATGTAAAGATGTAATTATTAATTATCAGTATTATTGAGTTATTATTATTATTATTATTATCATCATCATTATTATTATTATCAAACTTAGGGTAAACTAAGGCCATAATTCCTTTTTTCTTTTTATATTTCTGAAAGTGGACGTGGCGGCCGCCGCCTCTGCAGGGGACGAAGTGATACACTGTGGTATTACTTTGCTACATCCATACACTTACAATATACAATTTGCATACTGTGTACAACATACATTTTGCAACATACAGTAGTTAACTACTGTACATAGAATTTTCTACATACACTTTGCTCCTTTAGCAAATCTAGCTGCAAAGTAATCCTATTTCTAAATGTACTACCACGAAGCAACGTGTCCTTGAAAAGACGAGTTTTGAGCGAATTCTATTTGAATTCTAATAGGGCGCCCTTTCTCGTGTTAGTCCTTTTTAACATTTCATTTTGTTAATGCATACAGAATGACGACAGTCGGATCTCTTGTAATTTTACACTCTTTAATAAGAATATCAATTTCATCAACATTGATTGCTATGGGTTAATTGTCTTCAACTTGACACCTATTCAGTGCTTTCCTGGAGCAATCAGATGTGAAGTGTCAAGTTGTATGCTAACCAGAGCAGATCCAAATGATATTGGCCCTCCTCCCCTTCCCCATGTGCATACTGTACAGTATAATCAAATGTGTGGACAATTTTAATTATAGCATTGTATGGTTAATATTTTTCAAGATGAAATAATATACATAATGAGGAAAAGGTCCAACAAATGACCCAATTAATGTTGTACAGTAGTAATATTTCTAGAGAGAATACTTTTTTCATTTAGAATGAGGACAATACTAAGAAAGAAAAAAAAATTAACTTACATTGTGTTCAAATAATAATTCTAGAAGGAGTAATACAGATTTATTTAATTTTATCTTTAATTTTCAACATTAAAATATTCTAATTTTGTTAACAAATGCTTTTACTGCATGTGCTTTTTAATTGGATGTCATTGTTATGGTTGCTTCTGAACTGTTACCATAGCAACTTCTTTTTAATCTCTTAAGGTCTGTGCAGATTATTAAATTTTATTTGACGTGATGTCATCATGACCATATTTAGTCATGATGTGCCTATATATGGTCATGATGTGATGTCATCATGACCATATTTAGTCATGTCACATATTTTTGTCAAACACAATTTGATAGTGTGGATAGGGCTTCATATTTGAGTGAATAAAGATTAAATACTAGTACACACTACAGACACCTTCAATTGCATTTTGTTATGGTGGATAGATCCAGCTTTGTGTTTGTTAAATGTCTTTAAAACATTTCTATTGATTCTGCTTTGTAAAGGTTTTGTTGTTGATGGTATTCATGTGTGTTTTGGAGTATTCACTGCAACCAAAACATGACAGTGCATGTTTTATATTCAATAATACAATGCATGCTGTTTATGATCAACCTAAAAAAATATTATGTAAATTGTTTCTATTATGATATTGTTGTATTTATTACTATTTTATTTTTATTTATTTAAACATAAAACACCAAATGAATAAACACCAAACTTTAGGCCTATCCAGTAATCATACATTTAATCTGGATTCTAATTAATATCTATATACATGAATTGATTATCGAATTCAAATTAGATTATTAGTATTAATAAAATATTAATATAAGAGTTTGGTAAGAATTTATTATTACTTTCAATTTTTTAATAATTTATTTAAAGATAAATATATGTTTTCATAATTTTTTTTGATAAAGCACAAGCAGCCACAAGGATTTGTTTAGCCCATTAAAACCTGTCTCAAAATTGGGACCGTCTTTCGAATGTGCTGAAAACCAGCATCCTTATTCTTATATTACATACCAAAGCGATTTTCTGATTGGTTTTGTAGGCTTTCCGATCTGAAAATTTCGGATTTGGTGTTAATGAGGTAATTTCTGATGGTGTCTAAAACATACATAGATTACTATATATATTTTTTTTTCCCCATTTCATTTGTTTATTTTGTCAATTTTAAAAATAAAAGAATGTAATAATTAATGAAAGCAGAAAAAGAAGAAAAATATTTGAATTAACTGCAGTTTGCATAAATATGTGTTAAAAATATCTTAAGTAGTGTTTTGGGGGTTATAATGGTTCCAGTACACCATATTTATACTACTGTATTTTAAGCATTGCTGTATTGCGCATTAATGTGATATTTATTCATTCATTGGCAATAAATGTTTAACAAATTGACACTGCGATGAAGTTACCAAGCCAAATGCGAGCACTCTGGGTGATTGCTATCATGCTGTGTTGTCAATTCTTTGTTTGCTGCCAGGTGATTCGTCGACAACAGCTGTATTCATTACAATGAGTCCTAGTAGGAGCTTGTGAAATTGGTTTTCTTGTTTGTTGGAAGTAATTGCAGTTCAGATATATCGACAGACTCGGCTAATTTGAAAAACAGGCAATTGTTCCTGATTAAAGAAATGAAATTAGTAGTAGATCTGGTAGATCTGAATAATGTCTACATGTGGAAGAATCACTCATGAATATCTATAAACTTAATAGAGTAGGAGGACCTTCTCAGGGATCTTAGCACTCTTGAAGAATCACTCATGAATATAAATAAACTTAATAGAAGGGCCTGGGACAGTAGATCTGAGCACTGTCTATGGAAACTGAGTGTCATTCATGAATATTCATAAAACTCAGTTTGATGGTGTAAAAGGCCCTTGCAATTTGCATATCTGAGAAATACCTATATTATAGAAGAGCTGATAACCATGAATATTTTAAGAACTTAGTTTGATGGAATAAAGTGTTCACAATTCTAATACACTCTTCTCATAGAGAATTAAAATATCTCATTTTAAAATATCTTTAGCTTTATTGCTTTCCTGTTATCCAAACAGAGAACCAATAAGTGTAGTATGTTTTTAGCTGTATTCTTTTATTAGCGCATGGTATAAAAGAAGCTTGGATCAATAAGAGATCAATAGAAACGTAATGAATTCCGGTCTCCGTCTTATATCTAATATCAATAGTGCTGTTTAGAAAAGATCTTGGGCTATTCCATTCTTATGGAGGGATATTTAGGTATTCAGCCGTATTTATTCAGCCTTGATATTGTTTAGAAAAATGAAAATTTTTAAATGCATTTAAATTTTGTGCTGAATACATGTTTATTGATTGTCTAATTACCGTAATAATAAATACTGAAGAAATAGAGAATAAAGAATGTAAATAATGAAATCTTTATTGTTGTCCCATAAATTTATGAAATTTTTAATACCATGGTGAATCGATTCCTTTTTATGTATTAACTGTGTCATATTAAATATAAAACCCAATTCTGTATCATTCTGGCTATCTTCAGTGTTAAACAGTGGTTGGTAGGTGTGTCTTTATATTTATTCATTTCTGAGTGTTTTGTTGTATTGGTACTGTATATCCTATTATTCTCTTGTTACTTACTTTCAGGGGTTAGCCAGAAATAAGAAATTGGCCGTTCAAAATGGAAGATCAAGAAGTAGTCGCGAGACAGGCGAGGGGCGTAGCCCAGAGCGGGGGCGGGTTTGGGAGGGGTTCTCCCTTCCTACCTAAGAAAAAATAGAAAATTATGATTTTAGAGTGCATTTATAAATGTCAGAATTTTGTCTTCATGGGAATAGTGTTGAATTAGCTATCACAAAGATATTTCAGTTGAACTTTGTTGACATCTTCTAGAAATCAAGTGACGAAACTTCAGCAGAAAAATCTGAAGTGGAGACAACAAATGTGGAAGAAGGAGCTAATAAAGAGGAAAAAGCAGCTGATATAAAAGAAACAGAAGAAGAACAGAAAGGGAAAACAGAGGAATCAACTGAGAAAGCAGATGCTGAAGAGGAGGAAGAAATTGACATAGACTTGAACGATCCAGAAGTGAACAAGGCTGCCATTAAGATTCAAGCATCCTTCAAGGTAAATGGAAAAGCATCTTAAGCTCTGTCCTGATTATCATATATCATATTCCTTTGACAAAAAACTGTTGTATGCCCATATATAGTCATGATGTGCCTATATATGGTCATGATGTGATGTCATCATGACCATATTTAAGCATGTCACTTGTTTTTGTCAAACAAAATTTGATAGTCTGGACAGGGCTTTAATTTGATAGTATGGACAGGGCATTAATCTGCATGCAAATTCATTTTATATATCAACATGAAATACAACTTGTGCTGACAGTAACCCAAACCTAGTTTTGGATTGGATGTTGACTGCTTAGACCTTTTCTGACCTTTTGACATTTTAACTAGATGTCCACACACATATCCTCTTCACACTTAATGTTTTACATTGATTTACATTTAATCTTGATTTTGTGCTGTAATCTTAAAACATACTCTTCTTTGGATGAATGTGAAAGTATTTATAAAAGTTTGTATTGGACTATAAATATAGATTTGCATTCTGCTGTGAATGTATTTTGTGCATATTAAGGGTTTTTTGTTGTTGAACGATGGTTATATATTTCAATCTCAAGAATCACTTAACGTACTGTAGCCACTTAAATTTACTTTTTTTTTCAAAACAAGTTTGCATATACAGTATCAAGAGGTGTATGTTATAATTTTTTTTCCATATAAAGGGATTAATAACCTGAGAAAAAAACAATAAAAGTACTTCAAGAAAGTTCAATTTGAACCAAATCATTCAATCTTTTAAAAGAGAGGTTACTATAATTATCAAAGTTTTTCAGTCATTGAAGGCAGTAAAGTGGTTTACTCTATTTTTCACTCTTCGTTGCAAACTAAAATGGCTCAGAAAGGAAAAAATAAATAAAAGCAGCATACAATATTGAGTGGCATTTAAAGCTTAAAAATAATTTGAATAAATGTTTTTTTTAATTTTATTTAAAAAACGTGCATTCCGTAATTATTTGATTTAATCTACTTTTTCAGGGATTTAAAGCAAGGAAGGAGAGGAAAGAAAAAGAAGCTGAGAGTGCAAATACTGGAGAAGTAGAGGCTGCAGTTACGGAAGAAAAACCAGAAGAAAAACCAGAAGACAAAATGGTAAGTAAATCATTGACTTGACCCGCTGTATAATGTTCAAACCAAACGCTTTTGTTTACATTTGCAGGACGAATAGCAAACTTGGCATGGAACAAAATCAATCGATGACATGTTCTTGAAACGATTATAAGATTCATCATCCAAAATTATTTTCTCTGCAAGTACTCTCTCGACAATTTTAAATGATTATGGTGAAAATTTACAGATGGTGAAAATTTAAAGTGGCAATTTCTATTTTAAATGATTATTATATATTCTCAGTGGCAATTTTTTGCAATTTTTACAATTTTCCTTATTCTTTTATTGTCGTCCGTGTTTGTTTTTCCTTTACTTCCTGACGATTCTCATCTTTTTTCAAATTTTATTGTTTCGGTGACTGTACTGTCATTTTTTATATCTATATTTCTATTTTTGTATTTTAATTGTAAGGAGACCTTGTAGAGGTTTTCGTCCAGTGGCGGCGCCAGGATTTTTCCGATGGGCGTGGTTGGGCGTTGCTAAAAACCTTTAGAAAGCGGTCTATTGGACGTAGCCCCCGAAAATATGACAATTTAAGGGTTTCCACAGGCTTATTTAATCAATTTTTTTGATTTTTGAATTGTTTTTTCTCAATGACGAATGGTGGTTTTTCTCCCTGACTTGGAGGGGGGAACGGACTCCCCGACTGTAGCGCACATAATGGGACCTCTATTCACATGACTTAAAAAAATATATAAATGAATTTTGTTAATGATATGTTCTACATGGGTTTTTTGAACAATTCTTGTATATTTTAACACATGTCTCACTTTTGCTAATCTCTTGAAGGATTCATCACCATCAGCAGTACAAGCTGAACAACAAGAAGAGATTGACATCGATCTAAATGATCCAGAGGTGGAAAAGGCTGCTACAAAGATCCAAGCCTCTTTCAAAGGGTTCAAAGCTAGAAAGAATATGAAAAAGAAAGAGGATGAAGTGGAAGAAACACCTAAGGAGGTTTGTAATACTAACACAATGGCCACAGGTTTTGTCTACCACATCCACCCACACACACACAAACAGACCATAGGACGTATACTTGTTGCTAAAAGACTTACTACTTTATAATGCTTTATATTCTATTTTGTCATGTTATTCAAATTCAGTGTCAGAGGTACTGAAATCTGAATGCATTTTATTTTCCTGTGGTGGATTCAAAGGGGTTGGGAAGGGTCAGCTGGCCATACTTGGGCCTGGGGAGAAAAAAAGAAAATTGTATTCAAATTTAAGTCAGAGAGATGCTGGCCAGCTAAGGGTGTCATAGTCATAAATTTTTTGGCCCCAGCCATGGTGGGGCTAAGGTGGCCTAGGCCCCTTCATTTGTGTAAGTTCCTTCCTGGGCCCCCTCTGTTCCAAGAACAGCTGCGGTCTTCACTGTTATTGTTTATATTATACTGTATGTTGTATGCACTTGTGATCTTGTCTTGTATATTATTTTGCGATATTTTATTGATGCATGTATGTATGTTTACTTGTGACTAACTCAGCCTGTGGAAGACCAACCAGCTACAGTACAGGATGAACCAGCAGAGCCTGCTCAAGATGGAATGGAAACGGTGTGTTAACATTTGTTGTTGAACCACTCAGACAAATGAATTTCAATTATACTTGCTCCAGTATGCAGTTCACATTGCTCTCCATAATAATATATACAATTTTATTTGCATATAATTAACCTATTTTTCACATATATTTTAACCAATGATAGCTTGCATTTTATGTATTTTCATTTTCATTTGCACAATGTTTGTACAGCTTTTGAGTTGTGATGATTATATGTGCCTAATTTTCACACAATTTTCTTAATGTTTGCACTATAACCACTAGACCATCGATCAAGAACAAATCTCAAACAATTCTCTTCCATCTACCGATCCTATCACCACTGATCACCCTCAAAATGGAATGGAAGAATCCAATTCAGCAAGTGAGAATGTGGAGGGTCAAAAGGAATTGAGTGAAAAGGAAACAGTAGAGAAGGTTGCGGAAAATGAAGTTATTGAAGAAACTGTACAAACAAAAGTGGATGATGTCACTACTCCCGAAGTTGTCCAAGCAGAAAAAGAACAAGAAAAGCAGGAAACAGAAAAAAATGATACATCTAAAGCTGTAGTGGTCTCAGCACCAGAGGAAGATGAGACATTGAAACCTGAAATGGTTCCTGCACCAGAAGAGAATGAGACATCTAAATCCGAAGTGGTCCCTGCACCAGAAGATGAGGCATTTAAACCTGAAATGATCACAGAACAACTTGAGAATGAGAAGCAGGAAACAGGAGATGAGACCATTGAAGTGGTCCGAGAACAAGAACAGCAAAGGAAGCAGGATACAGGAGGAGATGAGACTTCTAAGCTTGAAGTGGTTGCATCACAAATAGAGAATGGGAACCAGGAAACAGAGGGAAATGAGACATCTAAACCTGAAGTGGTCCCAGCAGAAGAAGAGCAAGGGAAACAGGAAGCAAAAAAAGATGAGACATCTAAACCTGAAGTGGTCCCAGCAGAAGAAGAGCAAGAGAAGAAGGAAAAAGAAGTAGATGAGGCATCTAAACCAGAAGAGATCACAACACAAGAAGAGCCAGGGAAGCAGGAAGCAGGGAAAGATGATCCAGAAGCAGTCACAGAGAACAAAGATGCCGATACCACACAGGCCTCAGCTGCTGACCCTCCAAAAGAAGATGATGATGCTTCGAAAGAACCCTCAGCCTCTGAGCCGCCCAACTCCGATGGTGCTCCACTGAAGGTACAATTTGTGCCACATAGCTGTAGGCCTTCAGCTTGCTTGCATGCCTCAACATATCTTGCATGTGATATGTTTAAGTAATTGCTTTTAATCTCTATTAAGGCATGGGGATTCTTGCAACAGAACTTTTAATCTTTCTGAATGTAACACAAGCAAATGCTTGCATAACATGCTAAATTGCTTTGTGGTTTTGATGTTCTGTATCTCACATTACTAACAATCTTGTTTTATACGTTGCTATTTCATATGTATGCTTTATAAGTAATTTCAAGGTAGTGTTGAGTTTGAATATATACTTTCATATTTTTTTACACAGTGAGTTTTTTTAGATATTCTTATTTGCAAAAGTTCATTTTTTGAATGGAAGGTTTGATAATATTTATTTAATATTGACAGGGAAATTCTCCTCCCCCGGCTGCTGATGAAGGAAAGAAGGAAGGAGAAGAAGAAATAGATATTGACCTAGATGACCCTAAGGTGGCCGAAGCAACAGTCAAGATCCAAGCTGGGTTCAAAGGTGAGCTATGTTGGTTCCTCTGCAGTAGCTTTTTAAGCTTTTTTTGTTTTATATAAAAAGTGATAAGAAGGATATGACTATTATAATGTGTATGCATTGTAGGAATATGTACAAATGGTTTGATTGTGTATAGTCAGTGGCGCTGAGAGGCCGGGGAAACCGGGGTAGGTGCCCCGGGGCCCGGGCCAACATGGACCCGGGATAACTAGGTTAAAAATAATAAAATGTAATAAATGAACATTATTAAACGTATACCGTACTCGCGCGAATAAGCACCCCGTTTGAATAAGAACCCCTCTCAAATAACTGCCCTTCCTAACGTGAACATTTCCTTAAGTGCCCCGTTTGAATAAGTGCCCCCTTCTAATTTGAATAAGTGCCCCGTCAGTAATATCATAAGATTTTCTTTTTAGCAAGTCAATAATCCAATCAATCCTGGACTGTTGTTGTTGGCATGATTTGAGCTGCAGAGTGGAAACACATTCTTTTTTAGGTCAATATCAAAATGAGGATATTTCTCTTGGAGAAATGAGAGCTCCGATCCCTGGACAGACAGTATATTTCCAACTTAACACATTTT